TTTAACTGTTTTCTTTTTCTTTTTCTTTTTTGCTAGACATAGTAATATGATTAAATCAAATTGTAAAATGAATAACTTTAATTTCCCAGTAACACACTACACACCTTTCACTCTGTTTGCATATATGTTGTTGCTTGTTTCTTCAAATCTCATGAAGATTAGTTAACATGTTAGTATTAGTGGGCTCTATTATTTACTTTTGCTTATTAACAGAAAGGAGAATGTACTCTCCCACAAGAGCTTCTTCAAGCCATTGCTCCCCCACCCCTTGAGTTGCAGCTTCAGCAACAACTTCCTTCTTCAGGAGGTAGTATTCAGGATAGGAATGCAGGGAAGATCATAGAAGACCAGGCAAGGCAGATGGAGTCCAAGGAGAAGGTTTCACAGGCCGGGATGTCCACGAATGGGCACAATATTTCTAAGGAGGAAGTTTATGCAAGAGATGACAAAGCATCTGTGTCAATGGTTCATGTTCCAGGAGTACCGGCTGTGATGAAGGAACCTATAGCAGTGGTGCCTCCAGGAAAAGAAGAGCAGCAAACTGCTGTGTTTTCTTCTAAGTCAGACCAGGAAGTGGAACGTGGTCATCCAAAAACCCCAGCCAGAAGCGATTCTTCTGTGGACAAGGGAAAAGCTCCTATACCCCAAGTTGCTGTTTCTGAAACAGGTTCTAAGAAACCTGTGCAATCGAACTCTGCTTCCCAGGCAAAAGATCTTGGTTCTGCTAGAAAGTATCATGGACCACTCTTTGATTTTCCTTTCTTCACCAGGAAACATGACTCGTATGGTTCAGCGATTCATAATAATAGCAATAGTCTAGTACTGGCATATGATGTCAAGGATCTTCTTTTTGAGGAAGGCATGGAAGTCCTTAACAAGAAAAGATCTGAAAATTTGAAGAAAATTAGTGGCTTACTAGCAGTGAATTTAGAGAGGAAAAGGATTAGACCAGATCTTGTTGTGCGTTTGCAAATAGAAGAGAAAAAGCTTCGACTTATGGATTTGCAGTCGCGTTTGAGGGATGAAGTTGACCAGCAGCAACAGGAGATAATGGCAATGCCTGACAGGCCATACAGGAAATTTGTCCGTCTCTGTGAGCGTCAACGCATGGAGCTGGCAAGACAAGTCCAGGCTACTCAGAAAGCTGTGAGAGAAAAGCAATTAAAATCCATCTTTCAGTGGCGTAAGAAACTCCTGGAAGCTCACTGGGCCATTCGTGATGCACGGACTGCCCGTAATAGGGGAGTTGCCAAGTACCATGAGAGAACATTGCGTGAGTTTTCAAAGAGGAAAGATGATGATCGAAACAAAAGAATGGAGGCGTTGAAGAACAATGATGTTGAAAGGTATAGGGAAATGTTGCTTGAGCAGCAGACTAGCATTCCTGGTGATGCTGCAGAGAGATATGCTGTTCTCTCATCATTCTTGTCTCAGACTGAAGAGTATCTCAATAAGTTGGGAAGTAAAATAACTGCTACCAAGAATCAGCAAGAAGTTGAGGAGGCTGCTAATGCTGCTGCAGCTGCTGCACGGTTGCAGGCATGCATTATCTCTCTCTCGACTACCTTTATCTCTGGCACCAAATTAATTTATGAATCAAAATTGTTGCTGTTTCCTTTCATTAACATTCTTTAGTTTCCATATTTCTGATTTTTCTTCTTTGCTTATCAACAAAAAGGGTCTATCAGAAGAAGAAGTTAGGGCGGCCGCTGCTTGTGCTGGGGACGAAGTAATGATAAGGAATCAGTTTATGGAAATGAATGCACCCAGGGATAGTTCATCAGTTAGCAAGTGAGTTATTCATGTGTTTGAGATTTGTTTCATCAATATTCTTGAGTTTGGGACACTAGAATACTAGAGAAAAGCATGGTCAATCTAGTAATGTAAATATGCTGAGAAGGAAATTCTACTCCTGATGGATCCTCTTTATGCAATAATTATTTCATCTCTTAAGTTTGTCTCAGAATTAATGTTTTCCATTTATTCCAGTGGATTCTCCCCAAAGGCATAAAGTTTATCTATAGCACTGTTATTTATTTACCATTTCTGTTGTTACCAACAGGTATTATAATCTTGCACATGCTGTGAACGAGAAGGTGATAAGGCAACCTTCAATGCTACGAGCTGGAACTTTACGAGATTATCAGCTTGTAAGTTGCCTTGTAGATTTTGTAATTTTTTTCTCCTTTTTTTCTACCATATTTGCTTTCTGTTCTACCATTTTCTGTTGGTATATGTTTTTCTTTTTAATTCCAATATTATATTTTGTGGCAGGTTGGTTTGCAGTGGATGCTTTCATTGTACAACAACAAATTAAATGGAATCTTGGCAGATGAGATGGGTCTTGGGAAGACTGTTCAGGTATTTAAATTCAATTTTTTTTGGTAATTCAGCAGTTGTATATATCATTTTGTCCCCAAGTTCTTTTTGCTGTTTTGTAATTTATAGGATCAAACAAGAGTATTTTACTCTCTGCAGTTCCTGATTGTAATATCATATATGTATGCCATTCTTAATTATCTACCTCCTTTGTGTAGGTGATGTCATTGATTGCTTACCTAATGGAATTTAAAGGGAACTATGGTCCACATCTCATAATTGTTCCAAATGCTGTTCTAGTAAATTGGAAGGTTGGTTTTTTTTTTACTTCTGTAGTCTATGGTGATAGGCTTTTTCCAATATCTTATAGCTAATTGAGTTACTTCTGCAGAGTGAGTTCTATAATTGGCTGCCATCTTTATCATGCATCTTTTATGTGGGTGGAAAGGATCAACGATCAAAATTATTTTCTCAAGTAAGAAGCACAAGTTTGTTTACCCTGTTGACCTTTAAGCATCCAAAATTGCTCCTATTTTTTTTTCTCATGTATTTGTCCTGTAGGAGGTTTGTGCCATGAAATTCAATGTCCTTGTGACAACTTATGAGTTCATCATGTATGATCGCTCAAAACTTTCAAGAATTGATTGGAAGTATATCATAATTGATGAAGCCCAGCGAATGAAGGATAGGGATTCAGTTTTAGCCCGTGATCTTGATAGATATCGTTGCCAAAGACGTTTACTTCTGACAGGGACACCATTACAGGTATGTTAAGGCAGTTTTTATGATGTTGGGAAACATGTGTGGGCTATATATTTGCATATTAATTTGGAAAAAAAGTGACCTTGTTTAACTTGCTGTTATGGTAACTGGTAAGCTTTAATTATTAGTTGCAATGTTGGCTTTCCTTAGTTGTTTATATGTGGTCAACAAACAAAGTAAAAGTAAAGAAAAATGGATTTGGAAAAAGAGTTATAGTCTCAATAGTCAATATTGATGTATGATGGAGACATTGGAATAAGCAGTTCGCTTTTATTAAAAACTCTATTGGTGGTACTTGTTTACATAACTTAGAGATGAGAGATGAATTAGGAGTTGTGTTGTGCTGCAGAATGATTTGAAAGAACTGTGGTCACTTTTAAATCTACTTCTCCCTGAAGTGTTTGATAACCGCAAAGCATTTCATGATTGGTTCTCACAACCATTTCAAAAGGAAGGTCCAACTCATAATGCTGAGGATGATTGGCTTGAGACTGAAAAGAAGGTTATCATTATCCACAGACTACATCAAATTTTGGAGCCATTTATGCTCAGACGTCGTGTTGAAGATGTTGAAGGTTCTCTTCCACCCAAGGTATGCATGCTTTTCTTATGGTCGTAGGTTGATCATATCCTTTTGTTGTACAGCTGAATATAATAATATTACCCTTCTGCTTTACAGGTCTCTATAGTGTTAAGATGCAGAATGTCAACTATCCAGAGTGCCATTTATGATTGGATAAAATCCACTGGGACTCTTCGAGTTGATCCTGAAGATGAGAAGCAAAGGGCTAAAAAAAATCCATTATACCAGCCTAAGGTGTATAAAACTCTAAATAACAGGTGTATGGAGCTTCGGAAAACTTGCAATCACCCTTTGCTGAATTACCCATACTTCAATGACCTTTCCAAGGCTTTCCTTGTTAGATCATGTGGGAAATTGTGGGTCCTGGACAGAATTCTTCTAAAACTTGAGAGAACAGGTCACCGAGTTCTGCTCTTTAGTACCATGACAAAGCTCCTTGATATCTTGGAAGAATACTTGCAGTGGCGGAGACTTGTGTACAGACGTATTGATGGAACAACAAGCTTGGAGGATCGCGAATCAGCTATTGTGGACTTCAACAGCCCTGATTCTGACTGTTTTATCTTCTTGCTAAGTATTCGTGCAGCCGGAAGGGGTCTAAATCTTCAGTCTGCTGACACAGTTATTATATATGATCCTGATCCAAACCCTAAGAATGAGGAACAGGCAGTTGCTAGAGCCCATAGAATTGGACAAACAAGGGAAGTCAAAGTCATTTACATGGAAGCAGTTGTTGATAAAATCTCCAGTCATCAAAAAGAGGATGAACTAAGGAGTGGAGGTACGGTTGATTATGATGATGATTTTGCAGGTAAGGATCGATATATGGGATCTATTGAGAGCCTCATAAGGAATAATATTCAACAGTACAAAATTGACATGGCTGATGAGGTCATCAATGCTGGACGCTTTGATCAGAGAACAACACATGAAGAAAGACGGATGACTTTAGAGACATTATTGCATGATGAAGAGAGGTATCAAGAAACCGTCCATGATGTTCCCTCATTGCATGAGGTTAATAGAATGATTGCTAGAAGTGAGCTGGAAGTTGAGGTGTTTGATCAAATGGATGAAGAGTTGGATTGGACCGAGGAGATGACGAGTTATGAACAGGTACCTAAGTGGCTTCGAGCTAGTACGGGAGAAGTGAATGCTGCTATTGCTGCTTTATCCAAAAAGCCATCAAAGAATATTTTATTTGGTGCCAGTATTGGCACACAATCAAATGAAATAGAAACTGAGAGAAAAAGAGGGCGGTTCAAGGGGAAAAAGCATCCCAACTACAAAGAAATGGATGATGACAATGGAGACTACTCTGAAGCAAGTTCTGATGAGAGAAATGCTTCTTCTGGAAATGAAGAGGAGGGGGAAATGGGAGAGTATGAAGATGAGGAATACAGTGGTGCTGCTGGAGCACCGCCTATGCACAAAGATCAGTCGGAAGATGATGGTCCAATTTGTGATGGTGGGTATGAGTACATCCAGAATTCAGATAACCTTAGGAAAAATCACTTGCTTGAAGAACCTGGTTCCTCGGGATCATCATTAGACAGTCGAAGACCAACACATATGGTGTCTCCAGTTTCTCCTCAGAAATTTGGATTTCTCTCTGCATTGGATGCTAGGCCTGGTTCTGTCTCGAAGAGGCGGGTAAGTTGTCTTTCTTTTGATGATGATGCTTTCTTAGATTTGGTGGTTTCTTCCAGCTTCTCATCCTTCTTCTGTTAATTTGGCCAGCCCAATGAACTAGAGGAAGGAGAAATTGCAGTATCAGGAGATTCTCACATGGATCATCAACAGTCAGGAAGTTGGATTCATGAGCGTGATGAAGGTGAAGATGAGCAGGTAGTACAACCCAAGATAAAGCGAAAACGCAGTATTCGACTTCGACCCCGACATACTGTGGAAAGGCCAGAGGAAAAGTCTGGCAGTGATGTGCTTTCTCTCCAACGTGGAGAATCATCTTTGATGCCATTGCAATTGGACCACAAACGTCAATCACAGCTGAAGACTGAGAGTGAAACAAAAACATCTCGTGACCGCAGTTCTTTCAAAGATCCAAGTGATTCATCTTTGAAAAATAGGCGGAATTTACCTTCAAGGAAAATAGCTAACACCTCAAAGTTGCATGCTTCACCGAAATCAGGTCGATCAAGTTACATGTCCGGTCCTGTGGAAGATGCAATTGAACCATCCAGGGAGAGTTGGGATAGTAAATTGGTTAACACCAGTGGGACTTCAAATTCGGGTGTGAAGATGTCTGACAGTATCCAGAGGAAGGTACGCATTGGACATAATGACTATTTCTGCCTTTTTCCAATTTTTGAAGTAATAAATTCTGCTTGTCACTGCTGCCCCCTTTCGTCCCAGTTCTCTCCTCACCATGAAATATTAATCTTCACTATTATTTTTGAGTATATTTGGAGTTCAGCAATTTTTAAATATGGAAATTGGAAATTTTGCTTTTTATATTTGGAATTGTTTTTTCCACTGTGGAGAAAGAGCATTTTAGAAATAGCCATGCTTTGTCTCTTCTCATTGATAAATTGGGAATTCTGGTTCTACTTTCAGAGATATAAATAACTGAGATGAAGACTGAAGAGTTAGGCCAAAAAACCCTCATAAATAGAGGGAAAGTACATTTTTAAGTCACAAATTAGGTTACTTTTTTTTTTTTTTTTTTTACCTTTTTCTGTTCCCTTCCCCTCTTTTCTCTGTGTTTGACATGGTGCTCCTTGATGCAGTGCAAGAATGTAATAAGCAAGCTCCAAAGGAGAATAGATAAGGAGGGTCAACAAATTGTACCACTGCTAACAGATTTGTGGAAGAGAAATGAAAATTCTAATTACATGAGTGGAGGTGGAAATAATTGTTTGGATTTACAGAAGATTGATCAGCGTGTTGATAGATTAGAGTATGGTGGAGTTATGGAGCTTGTTTCTGATGTGCAATGTATGCTAAAAAATGCAATGCAGGTTTATGGGTTTTCACATGAGGTATGCATGATTCATTTCTACTTAGACTTCTGCATCATCTCATGCTTATTTGCATCCTTGTTCTGTTTCTCCATGGACAATATTTTCTAGATTCAGCTGATGAAGCCTATGGCATCAAAGAGGAAAAAAAAAATTATCTTTCTATTTATGTTTTTAGTAAGTTTGAACTTTCTTCTAAATAGAACCTTGAAATTCTTTCTCCTGTTCTGTGTCACTGGGTAAATCTACCAATCGCCCACTGCTTGAATTCCAGAAAACTTTAATCTGCATTTTGATTTCCTGTTCTGCACATTTCTGAAAATGCAATTACATTCCACAGGTTAGATCTGAGGCAAGGAAAGTTCATGATCTCTTTTTCGATTTATTGAAGATTGCATTTTCAGACAGAGATTTCAGAGAAGCCAGAAATGCACTCTCTTTCTCTGGTCCACCAGCCACCTCCACCTTGGTTGCATCCCCAAGACAGACGGCAGTTGGTCAAAGCAAGAGACACAAACCAATGAATGATGTGGATTCTGACCCAAGCCTCCCTCAGAAGCCACTGCAACGTGGATCCACACATCTAGGTGAAGATTCAAGAGTTAGAGGGCACGTGCCTCAGAAGGAATCGAGGCTTGGAAGTGGAAGTAGCAGTGCACGGGAACAATATCAACAGGATGATTCTTCATTGCTAACTCATCCTGGAGAACTTGTTATCTGCAAGAAGAAGAGGAAAGACAGGGAAAAGTCAGTGGGGAAGGCTAGGACTGGATCAGCTGGCCCCGTTTCACCCCCAAGCGTGGGTCGTAATTTGAGGAGTCCTGGAGCAAGTTCAGTTCCCAAGGAAGCGAAACTGAACCAACAAACAACCCATCAGCAAGGTTGGCCCAACCAGCCTGCTAATCCGGTAAATGGCAGTGGTGGTGGGAGTGTCGGTTGGGCCAATCCTGTTAAGAGGTTGAGAACTGATGCCGGTAAACGGAGGCCAAGCCATCTATGAATTTCTACAGAGTAGTGTATTACAGAAGCAAAATTCTTGCTGTTACGCTCAGGTGGGTGAGTGTATTTGGTGGCCCTTTTATGGCCTGTACAATTGCAGTTTAGATCATATTGTCTATATAGTGTAGGTCTTTAATCCTCCTCCATTGTATACTGCTCCTTCCATGGTTTAAATGCAAAAATAGTTTACATATCTGCATTTTTGCAGGTGTTGTCTACCTTATAAATGGCGCTCCTAATTTATTTTCATATTTATAATATGTTTGGTTTGAGGTGAAAGTGAGGGAAGAATTTTTTAATTAATTAAGTTTTAACGATTTTATATGACACTATGATTGGTACAGAATTTTCCTTCATCAGATCAAGCAAGCTATTAGGTTTCTCACTATGAACATAGCAACAATGTTTACTGTTAAATGTTATATAACTAGATCTTGAAACACAACCCCCTTCCCCCCACCTTTTTCCATCTTGTGTGGAATCAAAAAACTAGATAACAAGTTCAGAAAACTTTTGCAAACACTTCCAAATCACCTCAAACAACCAAACTCAAACTGCGGAGAGAGAGAGAGAGAGAACTGTTTTCCCATGTCTCAAACAAATGGAAGTGTATTTGCAGCTGAGCACATACATGTGGGCACCTCATGTGGGGGCTATATATTCTACACAAGGTGAATGCCTCTGCTGTGAGTAGACAAATGAACTAGTGAATAGTTTCAATATTCAACCAATTGTACATTTATTTACAATGACACCATAAGCCAATTGAGAGGGAGGGAGGGAGCTGTTTTCCCATGTCTCAAACAAATGGAAGTGTATTTGCAGCTGAGCACATACATGTGGGCACCTTAAGTGGGGGCTATATATTCTACACAAGATGAATGCCTTTGCTGTGAGTAGACAAATGGACTAGCGGATAGTTTCAATATTCAACAAATTGTACATTTATTTACAATGACACTATAAGCCAATTGAGGGCGGAGAAAGTTTCTCCCCCATCTAACAGGCATAATCTACTTTCTGAACTGAGAATTGGATTAAGAGACATGAAACACTATGTGCAGATAACAGGCAGTTCACGACAGGGTAGTCGCTATGGATCTGCTTGGCCCATGACTGCTTCTTCACTAGAATCATACTCATCTTCACTCATCTCCTCATCACTAGTTTTTTCTTCTGAAGCAGCTCCAATATCTTCTGGCTTGGCATACTTCTCACAGTATTCTGGATCCCATGAAAACATGAGCAACAGAAGCACATCAGAAACCGAGTTGGATGCCATCCACTTACCATATTAAGTTAGAAAAGCAAAATTTTACAAAACTTTATGAATGGAGTACAGTAATAGACATATGCTATGCTACAGTCCAGTTATGATATTAGTTCATAAGCTGAAGAAAAATGGTGTATACCTTTCACTCTCTGATCATAAGCAGCTCGGTCTCGCATCATAAGAGCTGCTGCCTCACCATTCAACGGGTCTGATGGGTTGGGATACAGAAGAAGCTGTGGAAGGAATACCTCAAACACATTTACCAGGTCTGCAGACGGAAATTACAACATGTAAGACTAAGACTAAAATGTTTCTACAAGAAAGCAACTCTGACATGAATCAAAAAACCATAATTAGCATCTCTTACCAAACATGGGGCTCCAAGTCTGATTAATAACATCTAGACAAATAGAACCTGACCTGAAAATTGTTCATCAATTCATATTATTCCCTTTTAAGCAGATGAATGAACTACCAACAGTAAAAAAGAAGAAAATTATAAAATCACAGAATCTATATTTACCCACATTTCATCCACATTTGGGTGGTATATCTTGTTGATAAATCCTATTGAGGGAGATTTATATGGATAAGCATCCGGTAGCTCCACTCTAATCCTCCACACACCTCCATGATAAAGACCTGTCATAGTTCACTGTAAGAAGGATGTAGACAAATATTTTCTCATTTTGTTCAAAACAAAATTCACCCTACATAGCATCAAAAAATTATCATCACAATCGAGAACCACAAATAATCAGCAAATTCCCAGCTGCTATAATATGAAACCACTAAGAAAGAAACATGTGGGTTGATAAAAAAAAAAAAAACTATATAATGTTAGATTTATCCCAAACTGAAACACCATAATCTTCATAACTAAAAGGTATAATACTAATTAGCATACAAAATAAATCAACAAATTAAAGGAAGTGCAAAATTCAAATACAGAAAATAAATCAAGAAAAGCAAAAAGTCAAAAATATGAAAGAACAAGCTAAATTCTATAATCTTCTTAAAAACCAAAAAGAAAAAGGAAAAAAAGAAGTGAGTAATGAAGATTTTACTCTCAGTCGGTCCATTGAAGTGCACATAGAATTCTTGCATGCCATCATTGAGCATCTCCACCTTGTAATCACTCATCATCCTAGTTTAAAAAAAAAAAAAACACACAAAAACCCATCAAAAAAAAAAAAAAAAAAAAACACCCCATATGAAGAAAACACAATCACAATTCACAGGTTAGAATAAAAAGGATCAACAGTTTCATCAAGTCCATCTCTCGACGCTTGCTGGGTGAAGACATGATTTTCCTTTCTCTCCTTTCTTGTTTAGTTTTTTTCCTTTTGGTTGTTGAAGGGAAAAAGAGTTTTTGCTTGTGTAACAGATTATGAATAAAGGCCACAGACGTTCAGACAACAATAAGTCTGAAAAAAAAAAGGAACAAAGGGTTAATTTAGAGAAGGACCTCAATAATTTAGTATCATACGGTACATGCCTTGCACGCATGTTCAATATTCCTCTCTTAGTTTGGTAAATTTTTCAATTGGGTCCCTCAATCATCAAGCAATGCATTTATGTAAGGTTGAATTTTCTTTTTGAAAGATTCCTTCTCTTTGAATTAAAGTGATTCTCAAATTTGCTACATAATTAAATATTTAATTTTGTTTTATCTGTAAAGATTTGTCTTGAGTGATTTATTAATTATCAAAAAAACAAGTTTATTTTTGTATTAAGTAGCATTCAAAAAAGAACTAAAGAAAATTTTAGAAAAAAAAAAATTTGTACCTTTCCGTAAAATTTAAAAATTAAAAGATCTTTTTTTAAAGTTGAAATTTGATTTTGATAAGGCACGTTTGGGGCCGACCGATACCAACTTGCAGAGCGCTTTGCTGTTGGCTGTAGCTATTATTCTAACTTTTGCTTTTACTTCTGAAAATCTACTTATTTTAATTTCATATATAAGTACCAAACGCAACCTTAATTTTTAAGCCATTGAGGGGAAAACAAAGTCAAAATGACATGATAGGTACATGCACTTGCTAAATTATTACAAGCAATGTTAAAGGTATTCAATTGACAAAAGCAAGTACGGGTCAGATTTCAGCCAGAATTCCATTGTTCCATTCAGATTCCATGGGCATTTCTAATACGAAATTGATTACTTAAATATTGTTTTTCTTAATCGAACTTTAGATTCAATGATTAGTATTATAACTTTAATATTTGAATTTAATTGGTTTAAAATTTGACTTTTACCAATAATTTAAAAAATTCTTTTATCTCCAAAAGTCTCCCATGTTAATATATATATATATTGTTTTTCTAATAATAAATACAGACGCCAATTAAT